ATTTTCCATAGCCGGTGACACTCCCATTTGAGAAGGAACGTGACTGGCCTGGGGTCACGTGGCCAACTAGGGGAAAGACTCACATTAGAAACAAGTTTTTCAGAACCTCTGTGTAGGAGTCTTTCGGTCAGCTGGCTTCCTCTTGGTTATGAACTAGATCCCTCTAGAATGCGATCATTGGGTCACAATGTCTGGACACTGAAGTTTATTTATTTCTATGGGCCTTGATTGCGTATAAATCTGGGCCAATTGGAATTGGGGTAAATAGAAGTCTGGATTTAAGGAAAAGCTTGTATCAACCTCCAGACTCCTTCTGTTTTCTCAGGAGGGGGTAGGTCGTACAGAGCATGGTCCCCAGGCCATATTACTTTCCAAAGATGGGGGCTGGCAGCAGCCACCGCCATGTCCCCAATTGCCTGGGGCTGCGTGCCCATCAGTCTGTGGCGTTGGAGCCTCCCTGTCTTTGAGACATAGGGCAAATTCAGTCAGTAGCAAAGGGAGGAGAGATGTATGTTTGCGTTTGTCTGTCACATTCTGTCTGCGATTTATTTCTTGGTGTCATGGCCTGCTGCAATTTGCACTTATCAGGAATGAAAACTTTGTCTACTTTTAATTTTAGAATGAGCTGGTTTGCTATAGATATGGGAAGAGCTCACTAAAGTCCCTTTCATTAACCATCCTCTCTCCACCTGAGTAATGTCCAAAACCACGGTCCCCTATATATATTTAGACAGATTTGTATCAACATTGCATTGTTACACTTGACTTCTTTCTTTTTTTTAATTATGTAAAAAAAAAATCACATTAAGCCGAATCTAATTACTGCAATGTATATTAGAAGCAGGGCACCATCAAAATTTTATTTAAATTAATCAGGTTTTGATTTAAGATATTAAATTCAAATTAATCATGTAAAAATGGAAATGATCCTTGACGTGCTTCCAGCTGTGACTTCAGTCTGTTTTCTCGCGAGTCACTTTCGGGATGTCTTGGGGGGAACATTACAAAAATTCACGCCGGTGCTATTTCAATTAGAGTTATTTAGCAGGACAGATGTAAAGAATATGGTATAATTAAGAAGGAGCTGATGACATGGCTACAGATTTTCAGGATTAAAAGGAAAAAAAAAAAATCCATGAACCGAAGTAAAAATTGACTATTGGCCATGATGGCCAAGGAGAGGTTAAGCATTCATTAAAGACACAAAGGAGATTTGCAGCGACGTGGACTTTTTCTCTGGAGCCATCTACAGACTCCTACTTTGGTTTCAACTTTGAAGTTTCATTAACAAGCCGGTACTAACTGATATTGCAATTCTTATCATTCCTGAAATTACCCTTCCCCATGGCAATCAGAGCTGTTGACTAATTTGATTCTAGAGCCATTGAAAAGCTATGGGAGTTAAAATAATACTTCAAGACCCATTTTAAATCAAATCGCAAATATTGGCATATAGAATATTGCATACATATGTCTATTTATTGGTCGTACTCACACACATATATTACACGTCACCATAGCAATACATTCTTCTTAAAATAATGCCAATTTCTCATACTTATAGTATATATGGCAGATAACAGAATGTAATACATTAACTCTTTTTCCATAATAGTTGGATGGGTAATAGCAGGTAATAGTCCTTTATTCGTGGATGACGAGGTGGGCTTATAAATGATGTAAAATTTGCCCAAAGCCTCGTATCTGACTGGACACTGGGGACTGGGATCTCCCGTCCTCCTGCTGCTCTCTTGGTTATGAACTAGATCTCTCCAGAAGGTGATCATTCTAGATGATCACAGCCTGCTGTTGCTCTCTACACCCTCTGTAGCAACTTCGCCTCTATGCGAATTTGATCTTCAAGACCTCAGAAAGCCCCAAGAGTCAGAATACGATTTTAAGGGACTGTTGGGGGCACACCTGGTCAGAACAAAAATCCTGGAGTGTAATTACTGTGCTGAGGCCCCTCGTCTGTTTCCAGCGATTTGGCTGAACCCCAGGGAGGGGATGGGGTGGGGGGTTTCCAGCCAGAGGATGTGACTCAGTCTGGGTTTCAGAGTCTCAAATAATCAATATTTCCATGTAAAGAGCACCGCGGGTGTCCTTTCTTGCATCCACTCTGACAAACACTGCTGTCCTCACAGACGCCATCTGGGTCTCTCTCCTGCTCTCTCCTGCCTGGGTGCTCAGACTGAGGCTGCAGCCCCCTCCTCAAGATGGCCTTTGGGGCTTGGGGGACGAGCAGAACCTCTTCTCCATGTGAATCCTCGTGGAATAAAGGGTCTCGGCTTCTCCCGCCCTACCTTGGCCAGACCCTTATCACAAGCTGAACTCTGGTGTCAATAAATGTAGGCGTGTCACGGGAAAATGAAGGCCTCCAGTGAAGGAACCCAAGCTTATGTTTCGTAAATAAACTCGATTCAAGAAAAGTTAGGGGCTGCCTCTTGCTGGTCTTTGGGTCTTCAGATGAGCATGAGGCCCAAAACTCAGGTACCGGTCAATGCTCGTGCAATGAGGAGGTGAGGGGAGAGAGTAACTGAGAAGATGATGTTCGCATCACTCAGTCAACAGCGAACGCTCACTGTGAATGAAGACAAAGAGGCAGGCGACGGTCTCCTTTCTCCCTCGTCCCATCCTACCTCCAAGGCCTAGCCCACCGGAACAGTGGTCCCAGCCCAGGGACAGCAGCCTTAGGAGTCTCTAGCACGTGTGTCTGGGTCGATTTCAGAGTTGTAGAAAACAGATGATTCATTGACGGGTCCTGCTTCCCACTCATGTGGTATAAATATATGTAATGACTCTTTCAAAATCACATTTCCCTCTTCGAAACAAAAGAATCAGGTGGGAGGTTCAAATAATCTCTTTTTTTTTTTTTCGTGGTGGAAAATGGTCTTTGTCAGTTAAATGCTATTGCTGATTTCTCAGAAATCTAATCGATCCAATAAAAGGAATGTTTGAAATACTAGACTATGAAAATAATATATTTTTTTGTCCCTCGTGCATTTATTTTTCGAACTCGTTTTACACTTGTATGCTAGCACCGTGAAACATAGAGAACGTAAAGGCCGTGGATTCAGACTGCACTGCTTACACACCACGGGCCCCGGGCAGGAAGCTCAGCCTCTCGGAGCCTCAGTTTCCCTAGCTGTAAGTGACCATTTGTTTTTGGGCTCAGATGTGAACTCTCATGCTGCTTTCTGC